CAGCAATCCTTTGGGTTAGATGTGGTTGTTATTTCCATTTTACAGATAAGGAAACCGAGGCATAGAGAAAAATAACTCAGCTAGAGTCACACATATAGTAACTAGTGATGAATATCTGAATGGGTTAAATCCCTTTCTGAATGAAATTGGAAAAAAAAAGTTCCTCCCTTGTGCCACAATGTTTTAGCTAAATTTTCTTTATTTCCAGTTAGAACCAAAGAATTCATTCCCTTCCTTCTGTAGCAGTGGGGGGGAGGGGCACGAGAAACTTATTTATTTATGAGGCTGATGGCAGCTGTTCTTCCCTCTCACCCAGCTGTCTTTTCCTGAAATAGGATAGGACAAGAATTTGAAATTTTCAGATACCAGGGAAAGAGCCCTGGAGTTGGAGATCTGAGTTTGAATCCCAGCTCATCCATCATTCTCTGTCTGGGTAACCCCAGCAACGAGCACAACCCCTCCACTCAGTTCCTCATCTGTCTGTGGAAACACACTCACGTCCACACTGGGTTCGTGTGATCCGGGCGAAGGTTGGTGGGTTTGTCTGCAGGCATGAAAACATTTTGCATGATGTGTGCATGTACAGAGGCTGCAGCCTGGTTGTCCTTTGTGGCAAGTGCCATGTTCGTACTGATGATCGTTGCTACAAGTATGATTGTTATTTAATATTTGGCTCTGGAACTCAGCTGGTTAAGTAGAGACCCCTGATGCACCTTTTCCTTCCCTGGCTTCAGCCGTCTTTGGTTGCAGCTGCTGCTTGGTGTCCGAGTCTGTGCAGGATCTGAGCAGATTCTGCGCAGGTGCAACAATGCACGGGGCTCCGCTGCAGGTCCACTCTGTGCACCGCTTGCTTCTGGCCCCAGGTCTTTGCTTTTGATGTCACCGCGTGGAACCCAACTTCTCACCCACACGTGTGCAGCCTGGAGATACTGGGAATTCAATGCCTGCTTGGATGAGCCTCTGATCAATCTCGAGGTGATGCCAGCATGAGATGAATGCATCCTCTTCCTCCTCCCAGACAGATAGGCCAACGCACATTCCAAGTGGTTTTTCAAATAGTTTTGAAACCCTCCTGGTGGCCGACTTAATATTTCTAACTTGCTCCCTGGATCACACTTGCCAACAAAGTAATAACACATCAGTCTTTGTCTCAGCCTGTTTTCTGGGGAACCCAAGCTTAAATAGTGTTGAATCTAGAATTTTGAAATTGTGCCTATTTCTCCTGTCACCCATGCTTGTATCTCTCCCTAACAGGTCTAGAACAGTGTCTGGCACATAACAGGTGCATACTAAATGAATGCATGAATAAATGAATGAGATTCTGTGTGTCTCAAAAAGATAGTACACAGTGTATTGGACTTATGGATCTAGGAAGCAAAGAATAGTTACAGGGCAAGACTCAGGAGCTCAGAAGCAGGGTTTGAATACCAGTTCTGCCACATATCAGCTGTGCTATCTTGGGTAAGTTACTTGGCTTCCTTAGCTTAGTTTCCTTGTCTGACAAATGAATAAAATAGTAAGTCATACATAGGAGGAGTCAGTGATATCCTTTATGTAAAGTAGCTGACACATAGTAATAAATTTATCAATGAAATTATTCTTAGTAATAGTAGAAGTACAGATATTACATGAGAAGGAATATATTAGAAAGCTCTAGTATAGAATTCAAAAGATGCATGTATGACTTTTGGTATATCATTAAATGTGTCTGTATGTATTAACTTTCTTTCTAGAGGGATAATAATTCTTAATCCATCCCAATTTGTGGGATCCTTGCAAGAACACTTTACAAAGCACACACAGTGCTAAAAAATGGAAAGGACTTCTTTTCCTCTGTGATAGTGGTGGTGGATGGTCCATCCAGAAAGCATGTCTGATGGCTGGAAAGAGACCTCTCCTTTGGGAAGACAGAAATTCATCTGTCATTTCCGAAAAATGATCTCCCTAGCTGACCACAGTGTGATCACCCGCTGAGATGTAAATCCCTAAGACAGGCCAAGGGAAACCAGGTTCCTGCGAGCCTGAAAGGTGAAACCGGCGCCATATTTCACAGGTGGCTTAAGCCCATTATTGCTGATGAAAACAGGATTTTTAAAGGACATGCTTCTTTCACCCTTCAACTTCATTCAGTGAACTTTTGACCAAAAGCTGGAGTGTTGTGTGCAGCCAAAAAATTCCTGGTATTTCCCACTATGTCATTGGACTAAGTCATGGGATAGATTTCTTTTTACCTTATTTGCAAGTAGAGGTGATCATGCTTCTCATCTGATATGCATTATCAACTTAGTATATGCAAGGCACCTCTCTCACTTCATTCTCTAGTGTTGTGTTGTGTCTATTGTATTTCCTCCTTTTATCTCAAGCCTAACACTTAAATCCCTCCCTGACCAAAAGCATCTAAAGATGTTCACTTATGTGTCTGAAATATGCCCTAGATATTTTTTCTTTCTAAAACATATAGTATGGTTTTGCATATGTGCTCAATTGATATAAAAATCATTGAGCTATAAATCTTATTTTGTTACTTATTTTTTTTTTATTCAACACCATGTTTTTAAGATCTCTCCTTGGTAGATGAATATGTTAAAATATATGTGTTTCTATTTTGTATGTGTGTTTTCAACTAAGGTATAGGGTTCCATGTTATATGTTCTTTACAATTCCTGCACCCTTCCTCTAGAGATGGATCTCTAGGTTGTTTACAGCACCCCTCCACCACAATCCTCACTATAAAGATTTGTGTAATATTTTTCCTGGAGGTGGATTTTTGCATCCTAAGATACGTCTTACTCAAATCAGAATAGATGCCATTCAAGTCATGTTCAAATAAAGATGCCAAAGTCACTTCGTGGTTAACTTTCCCAAACACCTTCCTTTCTTTGGTCATCCATTTTTCTGCATTCGTATAAAGAGGGATTTGGATGAGAAAAGTATTTGAGAACTCTGCTCATGTTAAGATTCCACAACTAATTTTCAAGCCAGCTGTGTTTATCAAACAGATGGAAGGAAAGTTGGACAAAATATAATAGGCCACCATACAAATATCTGGAAGTATCCAGATGTTCAGCATCTTATAGACACTACCTAGGAGCTTTTGTCAGTGTTCTCCAGTGGCTATCTCAGGGGTATTTGTGTTCTTTTAGTTTCCTAAGCTTTCACCTCTTCTTTCTCTCAGAGAGCTAGCATAGATTCAGGCTTGAAAGGATCTTGTAGTCCCTTAAGAATTCAGATTTCAACTTTATTTCAACTCAATTTATGACTGGCATCTGTATATCTATATCTAGCTACCTACCTGTCATTTATTGTTTATCATTTATCTATATCTCTCTACCTATCTGCTTATTTGGGGGATTCAGTATCATGGTTACTGAGAACACTGACTGGAGTCAGACAACATGATGCAAACACATGGTTCCAATGACTAGCTGTTTGACCTTGGGTGAGAAACCACTTGGTGCCTCGGTTTCTTTACCTATTACAAAATGAAAGTGATAATTCTTATTCCATTGGCTCGTTGCAAGGATCAAATGAAATTATGCTAGTAAGGATTTGGCTCAGGACCTGGCACAGAGTAAGCACTGTAGCAGTTTACCAAACAATAACTAAATATATAAACAATGTCGCAAATCTTTTGATACTCTTTTCATGGGGAAATAGGGTCTTTGACCCTTCGAATTGAATCTAGGTGATCCTTTTGACTGCTTTGACCAAGAGAGCATGGCACAAAGGATACAATGTTGCTTCCAGGGCTAGGTCATAAAAGGCCATGCAACTTGAGACTTCTTTATGGGAATACTGAGCCACTGGCTGAGACGTCCGACTGCCCTGAGGCTGCCATATCAGAGAGGACACTGGTAGGCACTTCGGCTGGTGGTCCCTTTTGAACCCAGCCTTCCTGCCATCCCTGCCAAGACAGTGGACACTTGGAAGTGGATTCCCTAATCCCAGCTGTTTCAATCCTCCCACTTGACTCTCAGCATGGTGGAGCAGAGACCAGCCCTCTCCTCTGTGCCCTGTCCAGGTTTTTCACTCATAGCCATAATGAAATGGCTGTCATTTTATTATATTGAGTTTGGAGGTAGATTGTTATGCAATATTAAAAATGAGAACACCCTACACTATTAGTATTACTCTTATCTTTTGAGATCATGTTCAAATATTGTGTCTCTTGGGAAGACATATTCTACCATTGATAATGTCTGACATTGATTTATTAAGGGTTTACTATGTGCCTGGTACTGTGCTAATTGCTTTATGGGTATATATTCATTTATTCCTCCCAAGAGCACTCTGAGGTAGGTACTATTTTATTTATCTTTTAGAGATGTGACGATAGGAGCCTAAATAATTTTCCCAAGATCATCTAGCTAACAAGTTAGTAAATGTGAATTTGAACTCTGGTTTCTCTGACCCACCTTGATGGGTATTCACAAAATGACTTCTCTGGCTGGCATTCTAGTTGTTGAGATGACATTCATTTCTGGGGACTTGTGAGGCCATTGGCCGTGCCACTTGATCAGAGAAGTTTCCATCCTGTGGACCTCAAGAACACCACCCCTTTTCCTACTTCCCATTTGAAAACTAACCAAGAATTGCCAGAGAAACAATGTAATATCAATTCTTCCCGAGGTGGGGTGAGGCTTTCTAGAGAAATTCAAGAGAAAAGGGCACATGAAGTTTTTCTCATCTGGAAGGAAACGTCTCTGCAAAGGCATAATGAAAAGATATACAATTTCCTAAAATGGTGGGAGCCCCTCAGAACTGAGGGAGCCCCCCAAATCTGAGGTGGTGGATGGTTTGGTATGAACGGGTCCGGAAATGGATAGAAGACCCTCAGGCTTCTTCCTGTGTCTCACCCCCCACCTTACATCCATGACGCAGTGAGGATAACCATAAAGCTACTAATAAAAACATCTCCACCAGCTCTATTTACCCAGCTGTGTATCTCAGGATCTGCCTCTGACATTTTTAATACTCTCTCATTTCTCTGTCTTGCCCAGGATTCATTTGAAGCAGCCCCACAGGGAAGGGGGACGCTGAGGAAACAAAACCCAGGCCCCCCGGCCTCTGAGTGAGGGTGTGGAGCTTGCTGGGAAATCGCTTCCACCTGAGGAGCACAAAGGACCCCAGCGGAGGAGGAAGCTGGCCCCACGCCAGCCGGAGGTATCAGGCTTGGCCCGAAGAGGGAGGTCTGCTGGTGGAGCCTCAGAGCATATATACTTCCAATCCCAAGGCAAACAGAGCTCCGGGCTTTAGCGACAGGGAGGGCGTTGCCCGTGAAGTCAGGGATGGCAGCTACCAGGGAGGCCTTATGCTTTTTTTTTTTTTTTTTTTTTACCTTTTTATGGATTATGGTGTATCTACAGAAGAAACACAAGGAAAACCTTAAATCAATGGCTCAATAAGATCACAAAGTTGTGCCCAGATCAAGACATAAAGCATTGCCAGTTCCTTGGAAGTCTCCCTCCTTCCCCTAGTCCAGTGACTATCCTTTACCCCTTTTCTGGACTTTTAACACCAATATCAGTTTTGCCTATTTCTGTACTTAGGTAAATGAAGTGCATTCTTTTGTGGCTGATTTCTCTGTGTTTGCGAGCTTTGTGTCTCTCGTGTGGGAAGCTGTTGGTTGTTTATTGTTGGATGCCATTCTGTTGCATGACAACATCATGACTTGTTGATCAATGTTGTTGTCGATGGGTATTTGAGTTGTTCCCAGTTTGAAGTTATTATGAATAGTGTCACCGTGAATGTTCTTCTCCCTTTGTCTTGGTGCATTCATTTCTGTTAGGTGTGTACCTAAGAATGGAATTGGTTGGGTTAAAGTACATGTGTATGTTCATATGTATGTCAAACTCTTTTCAGAAATGTTTGCACCAAATCATATTCCCACCATCAATGTATAAGAATTCTGGTCACTCCACATTTTTGCCCAACAATTGGTGCTATCTGTCTTTTGGATTTGTAGCTATGCTGGTAAGTGTGTAGTATTTTCTCATCGTAGTTTTAGCTAGCATTACTATGGTTACTGTTGAGGCTGAACACCTTTCATATGTTTGCTAGCCCTTTGGAGATCTTTCATGAAATGCCTGTTCAAGTTTCCTGCCCATGTTTCTGTTGGGTTATCTCTCTTTTTCTTACCAGCTTGATAAGATATTTATATATTGAGAAAATAAGCTTTTACTAGGTGGTAAGTGTTGCCAAGATCTTTTTCTACTCTGTTACTTGACTCCTCACTCTTTTAATGATGTGTCTTCATGAACATAAGTTTTTAATTTATAATACACATGTGCTATCCATACTTTTAAGGTTAATTTTGGAAATCTTTGTACTTTTGTTTAAGAAATCTTTCCCTGTCTGAATAAAAAATTAAACACACACACACACACACACACATCTCCTATAGTGTCTTTAGAAGCTTTATTTTGTCTGCTTTTATATTTAGATCCACAATCCACTATTTTGTTCCTTTGTTTTCCCTCATTGTCCAGCCTTTGTTCTCATTCCTGGGTTACCCCTGAACTCCACATCAGAAAATGTGCATCTTTATGGCTTGTCACCAAAGGTGATAGCAACAACAATAGTAACCCCCAAGATATGTGCAAGTCTTTGGAACACATATTCCCATCCATTAACTAATTTAATTCCTTCACATCAACCCATGGCACCTGTCAGTGTAGGCACCATGATGCCCATTTTAAAGATAGAAAGACTGAGCTGCATAGAAAAGTAACTTGTTCTTGTTCACACAGCTAATAATAGCACAAAGAGATTCAAATTTAGATCTGACTTCAAAATATGTTCTCTTTTTACCACCTCGTGTTAAGATTCCTTGAGAGGAGCAGAGTTGATATTTTGACTTGCCTGAGGAAGGCAGAGTTCCGTTACCAGCGATCCTCCATCTTCCTCTGGGAAGCCTCAGATGGTTACTGCAGCCTGGTTGAGCTTATGCTACATGATACAAGCAGCAGCCTTTAAGAATCTTAGTTGCTGCCCCAGAGTATCAGAAATGCCCTTAGAATTTGGCAGTGAAGGCCTAAGCAGGTGGATGAATGCTGGTGGCTGCAGAAGATGGTGCCTGATGGCAACAGGGAACAGACACAGGAGGTCTTCTGCAAGGGACAGCATGCATTTGGCCTGGTGGCACTGTCACCTCCTCCCCTTTGATGAATTGTCCCTGCCCCCTCTCTAAATATAGGGTTTGAATTGAGGCCGCCCATCCTGGCTCCCTACCCTCTTGGCTGAGGTGATTGGTCCAGCCTTGGACACATGATCCAAAAGGACCAATGAGGTATCTTCCCTGGGATTTTCCCAACCACAGCAGGAAAACAAGATTCTGTTCCTATTTTGATATGGCTGTGAGGGGCACTTCCTAGACAATAAATCTGGCATCTGCAACTGGTCCTGTTGCTGAGGAACACAGGCAGGTGGTCTGGCTTCCAGGAGCCATGGAAATGCCTGCCCCTGGATCTGCAAGCCAGCTGTTGAGGGCTGTGTATCATTTGTTGAGAATCCCTGCTCCTTTTTGTTTTTCGCTACTCCCAGGCCATCTAGCTGGGTTGGTTCCTTCTGTCTTCCAGATTAGGCATGACAGAAGCAGTCATGTCATTTAACACCCTTAAAAGCTATCTTCCCACACTTGCTGGAGCAGTAAACTGAGTCAGCCATGATTGTGCCAGGTGATCCCTGCTCTTATTTGATTGGGCCGATTGTAGTCTATAGGTACCTCTTGAGTCAATCCAGTTTTTTTATATTCAAGGATTAATCCAAGACACAAGAGACTAAAGACAAAGAGTCATAAAGTCATGCGGAGATGGATCCAGTGCCCCACAATGGCTGGTGTGTGGTAAAAGGAGCTAGCGTCTATACAGGAAGCTGGTGGTCAAGAGAAGAGAGATCAAGGTGAGATATAGTGGAGGTGAGCAACTACATGTCCCAAAAGAGAGGGAGTGAAGGTCCCATAGAACTAGATTCTGTTTCTTGAGACTGAGTTTGTTGAGATTCCCTCAGTTTTTATGACAAACCCTCATTTTGCTTAGGCTAACTTATCTTGGTATCTATTTCTTAAATCCTTATTAAAAATTGCTAAGATGGAAAAACAGAAAAGAATTCTAAGACATGATTTGTGACCTCAATGAGCTTATCATCTAACAATATTGATAATCACAACAGCAATTGGTGCCAGTCACTGAACTCATGCTGTATCCTCGGTTCCTTGCATTGTCATATTTTGAGGTTCACAGTCCTCTCGAATACATGGTATTATTTTTGCCATTATATTGACGAGGAGACTGGGGCTTAGAGAGACTCAGTTACTTGCCTGCAGTCACATGGCCAGTGAATGTTGAAATCCAGTGTGGAAGTTGGCAGTCTGCCCCAGGGCTTGCTCTCTCAAGCAACGTGCTTGGCTAACTAGTTAGAGAAACAAGAAAGGTGGAACCAGAGAGGATGAGTGATTGGCAGATGAATGAGAGTGACTCTATTATGGTGATTCAGAGAATAGAAATGTTATTGTGGGCTGGCAACAAGCAGAGAAAGACCAAGGCAGTGAGTTCGGGGGATCTGAGAGGGCTGTATCAATGAATGGAAACAAAGCAATTTCACAATTCTTGACTTAAATTTAGAATGTGTACTGATAGAACTGAAATTGATAGAGTTTTACAGGAAACATGTTGGCCATAGATATCAAGAACCCTAAAAATGCCCACAGTGTTCAGCAAATTAATTCCACTTTAGGGAATCTGTAACAAAAAAATAACCAATTATAGGTGGAAGAGATGCACTACTGATAACTTATAACAACAAAAAGTTGGAGATAACCTACATGTCTAATATGAGGGACTGGTTAAAGTATGTAACTTCCGCTTAGTAATGAGAAGCCTGGTTGTTTAGCTATTACCTCTTCGTCTTCAATCTCACCCTTCTATGCCTGCTTGGTGAGGCTGGGATGGGACCCTGCACCACACCTACTTTTCTGTGAAACATTGTGTACCAGTTGGCAGGTGTCAAAAGTGATTGGAAATAAAAAGCAACTAGAAGGCCAGAGGAAGAGAAGAGTCTTGCCCCTTCCTGGTTGCTTGCTGTTGCTGTGAGAGTCACCCTAGTAGGATGATGAATCCAGTAGCAGCTCCTGAGTCCACGCTGCAGTTTTCCACTCTGTCAGAACCAACCTCCCTGGGCTTCCTCAAAGATTTTGGCATCAGCCAGGTAGAACCTCATCTTCCAAAATCTGGGTCTCCACTGGGCTGTGCCCACCTTTAGGCTTCCAAACCAAGTTAGTGATAACAACATTTTCCCTTTGTTTCCCTGTCATAAGCATGGACCCTGCTTCTCAAGTTGGTACCTTGGTGATAGCTCATTATGCCCTTGCTGTCTTTTTAGTTTCCTGTGGTTGATTAGTCATCATGTAGCATGACTCAGGTGGGAGAGAAAGCTTTTTCCCCATCCTACAGATGGCAAGTTAGGAAATTTGGGGGTGATAGTCAATGAGCTGATGATCTCCAGGAAATAGTGAAAATAACCTAACAAGATACATAAGATTCTTCTCTACTACCTGGTTAACAATTCCTTGCCTTACATTCTCTCTCTTCAAATAACTAGCAATGCTCTCTGTGTCCAGCCTGGATCCCCACTGATAGACACTATTAGTGCAATATATATATATATATATATATATAGTGTGTGGCAGTGTTTACTTTCTAATATTAAATTGATTAAAAAAACAGGAAGTGAAACTAAGAATAGCATGATTGGAAACTTGTCTTTAATGTGTAGAGAAAGAAGAATGAAAACAAATGTAAAAAATAAATAACTAAAGTGGCCATGGACAGCCTCCAGTGACCGGGGCGCACATCTGCGGGATGGCAGGTCCCTAAGATCTTACTTGGCTGAATGCCGCGCTGGCCGCTCTGTCTCCTGGGAAGCCAGCACGTCTGGATTGAGACACTTCTGACTTTTTCCTACTGGGCCCGTTCTCCTCCCCTCGCCTCTTTTGGAGGCGCGGTGGGGCCCTTCGCGTTTGTCTACACCGCAGAGAGGCTAGGGAGGCTCTCTTTGATGTGGGCATGGTCAGGGAAGGAATCACTTTAGGAAGACGGCCTGATGGGTCTTGGGCCCCATTTCTATGGCAACAAAGCTGCAAGGCCTGAAAGTCTGATTTTGTTTTGCAGTGTGGTGGCTGCTAATTATAGGCAGCTCCATGTCCCTTGCGCTACTCTCTAGAATGATCTATATTTGTTGTCCAGGTTTATTTATTTTGAATTTTAGACCCCATTTCTCCTCCTCTTCTTGCACGTTACCCTTAAATAAATATATATATGCACATATACATAGTTATACATATATATGTATAATGAAAAAAGGGGGGGAGAGAGAGAGAGAGAAAGAGAGAAAACTTTATTGTATTTAGCGCTGTTTGCTTTACTGGTTGTTATGAGAACCAAAAGCCAGATTATAGACCCAAAATAGTCAGGCCAGGCTTGGGAAGAGAAGAATAAGTAAACAGGCCCAAGGTAGCCCTTGGCCTGGACGCGAAGCAGAAGGCAGAGTTTCGGTCCCCAAGGACATGGGGAGAGATGATGGGAAAGAGCGAAGAGAAGCAGGGATGCGTGAGGAGGGGGTGGAGGTGGTCACATGAGGCCCAGAGAGGCCGATTCCCGGAAGGTTTACACATTCACGAGTTGGCAAGGAGGCGTCTCTTTTAGCAGTTTGCATGTCTTCGGTGAAGGTTCTCTTTGCTGTGCCGTCTGCTTCCTCCTCTCCCAAAGTTTGATCTGCAAACTTGTCTGCTTGGAGGGCTGATGCTGCCTTTGAGTGGATCCTTTGGAGGGAAACCCTTGCAGTCTGTCCATGGGGGTGGGGGCTGTCCACACCAGGCTGGCAAGTGCAGTGAGGAAGGCTGCAGACTGTCTTCTCAGTCTTGGGCTAAGTCTTCCCTGTCCAATATGGTAGCCACTAGCTGAGTCTGGCTATTTAAAATGAACTCAAGTGAAATTAGATTAAAAAATAGAATCCCTTCTCTGTACTTTCTGCTCAGTGTTTCTATAAACTTAAAAACTGCTCTAAAAGGTACAGTTTATGAATTTAAAGAAATGCACAGTTCATCAGTTGTGCTAGCTACATTTCAAGAGCTCGGCGGTCACACGTGGCTGGTGGCTACAGCATTGCATTGAGTGGCATTGATGCAAAACCTTTCCATCATCACAGCAAGTTCCTCGGGACAACTGTGGCCTAGGTAATGGCGTACTCTTCTGGACTGGTCCCTACACATTCCACAGAGTAAAAAGAAAGCATTCATTCATTCAACAAATACCCATTGCCAGGCACTGTTCTGGGTGTTTGGGATTCAGTTGGGAAACACACACCTCCTGCCCCTGTGAAATTTATGTGCTGGTACATCATAGATGTTGTAGAGATATGAATAGAACATGGCTATGGAGAAAAATAAAATACGTTAGGGGAGATAGAAGAGTTTGGGTGCTGGGGAAATGAGGGGGGGGGTCTTGTTTTTTTTTTTTTTACTGATACTTAATATGTTACATATTTATGGGGATACATGTATTTGTTGTATGCATAGAATGTATAATGATGGAGTCTCAGGGTAGTTAGGGTATCTATCACTTTGAGTATTTATGATTTCTATGTGTTGGGAACATATTTCAAGTCCTCTCTTCTAGCCACCTTGAAATATATAATATTAATACACCGTTGCCCACTATAGTCACCCTACTCTGCTATGCAGCGTTAGCAGGTGTATCTTCTATTTAACTATGAATTTGTGAGAGGGTTCTATTTTCTAAAAGGTAGTGGGAGAAGGCTTACCAAACAGGTGACAGATGGTAGAGCAGTGTCCTGAAGGGAGAGGAGGAGGGAACAAGCCATGCTGAATTCTGTAGGTAGAGAATTCTAAGCAGAGGGGGCTGTCATGCAAAGGCCATGAGGTGCAAATGTGCCACTGTTTTGAGCAGAAGAGTGACAGGGGGTCTGATTTAGGATTTAACAGCATCCCTTTGGCTGCTAGATGGAGAATGAAGTGGATGGGGAGGAACGAGATGACACAGAATGATCAACGAGGAGGCTGTTGCCACATCCCAGGTGAGAGGGGACGGTGGCTTGGACCAGTGCAGTAGCAGTGTGGGGAGGTGAGAAGTTGTTGGGATTCAGGAGACACTCTGAAAGTAGAGCAGATGGGATTTGCTTCTGGATTAACGTAGGGTATGAGAGAAAGAGGAGTCAAGGATAACAAGAGGGTAGAGTTTCCATTTATGGAGATAGGGAAGATGGTTGGGGAGGGTTATGCAGTTTAGTGTGGAAATAGTAAGTTTGAGATGCCTCTTAGATATCTAAGTGATGGTCTCAAGTATATATTTCTTCAACAGGTACTTACTGGGCTCCAGTATATACCCAGGACTTAATCATCTTTGATATAAGAGTGGGAGACAACTCATTCTTATTTTCAATTTTCTTTAGTTAATCCATTAAAAAAGAAGCATACATTTTTTCCCATTGCTTTTGTACCAGCTTATAAATCTTAAGTCTACACTGGGCAGAACACTGGGCTAACTGGCTTGGCCCCTGGATTCTACCTTTTTGTTAATTTTACTTTTTCAGTTCACCCAACTAGTAGCGAGATACTGTGTGTGTTCCAGAGACACTAAGAACATAAAATACCAGCCCAGCCCTTGGTAAACTGACAACCAGTGGGAGTTGCTAAGGCACAGAACAAAGCACATGGGCTTTGGACAGGTCATACTTGATTCCTAAAACTGGCTCTACCACTCCCCAGCTCCCTGGCCTGGGGCCATGCACTTAACCTCCCTGAACTTGTTTGGTCATCTGTGTAATGGAGCAGCTAACACTCACCTCACAGGACCACCCACAGGGTTAGAGAAAATGCATGGAAATCCATCTGCACAGGACCTGACGCATGTAAGTGATTATTTAGTAAATAGTTGTTAGTGTAAACTTCACTGTTACCAAACAAAACACACATGTAATAGAAAAATTAGAATATATTGTATTAGACACTTTTAGAAACAGATCTGAATAAAGTTATGGGAGACAGGACAGTGGAGGCTAGGAATATGGGCTTTCGAGATGGGCGTTGATTCTGAACCAACACCTCCATTTATGCACTGGGTTGACATTGGGCAATTGCCTTGGTTTCCTGGTCTGTAAAATGGGCACGATAGTCCAGTAGTGTCTACTCACAGGTATGCTGTGAGTGTAAAGGGCTTAGCACTAGTCTGAGCTCATAGGAATTGCTCAATAACTGTTCGCTGCTACTCTTTCCATGGGAACACAGGGAAGGCAGCAGAACAAGCTTTTAAGAGGAAAAAAAGTGAATCAGGGAACATGCTCCTATCAGAAATTAGGGAAAGAAAAAAAAAAAAAGCCCTGTTTCTGGTATATGGGGAGGCAGTCCAAGCCGCCCCACCACTGCCCTGTCCTGTCCAGTTCTGACAAATGTCTTTGATGAACAGAGGGAACCCTGAGGCTCTTCAGGATTTTAAAGTCTCAAAGAAATCTTCAAAGGCCTACTTTGACCGAAGTCGGGGAGCGATGATGGATACGTTTGGAAGGGTTTTGAAGTACAGTGGCGAACATGTCTTTTGGGCTATGTTTTGACATCAAGGGACATTTAGATGCACCCGAGCGCCCTCTCCCTAAGCCCACAGGAGCCTTAATATTTTCCTAGATATCAACTCTAGAACTTCCATGAGCTGTGGAGGCGGTGGGTGCTTGTTCTAACCAAGGCGGTATAACCAGTTTGTAGGTGATGTTTCCCTGAACTCGTAAGTTGTCCAAAACTTTCACTGACTGTGCTGTTAGTCACTCCCTGTGCTACCTGCAGGCTTGGCTCGTGGCCCGACCTACTTCATGTTTACACAGGCCCAGAGCTTGCCTGCAAACACCACCAGGGAGCCAGAGATGAAGGGTAGGCAGTGATTCATCTCCCTTTGCCATGACGTGCTTCAAGCAACTCATTTGCTTGATTGGGGTAACCCCCTTCAAAGGTAAGCAGGCAAGGTGAGCCTGGCTCTACCTGCCCTCAGGAAATAGGTGGCAGCCTGCTGGTTCTCGCAGGGACCTCGCTGGTCCTACTGAACCAGGTGAGGCAGAGTGCTAAGAGCTTGGTCTTGGAATCACACAAACCTGCTTATGAAGTCTGTTTCTGCTACTTCCTACCCGTAGCCAAGTTCTTCAAATCTCCGTTTCTCTATTTCCTCTCTTGCCAAGTGAGTTATAAATGGATTCAATCCACTCGTGGCAACATTGACAGCAAAGACGGTGGTACGGATTGAACACAATAATGTATGACTAATGCCTGCTCAATAAATATTAATAAGCAAATACTTGCTGACCATGTCCCAGGCACTGTTCTGAGCACTTTACATGATCAACCCAGCTAATCTTCCCATTTTATAGATGTGGAAACTGAGATAGAAAGGTGAGGTCATTTTGCCAAAGTTACACAGGTAGAAAGTGGTGAAGTCAATATTCAAATCATGCTGGACTCCAGATCCCAGGTTCTTAATCACAAGGCAACACCCCCTTCCAGTAAATGATAACTGTTGGTGTTTTGTTAATCCAGTCTTTCCTGGGTGTCCTTGGGAGCTGTCTGAATCCCACTGAGAATTTATAAATAACCACGGACTTGCCTTTTTCCCACCATGGAGAGCAGTGGCTGATCTTAGGCCATTGGGATCATCTGTATAATTCTGCATACTTATTTATAGTAAGACATAACTAAGTTTTACCCATCCAGTCTCCCTTTCTCCCCTCCACCCGCCCGAGAGGGCCTCCTAGTAGCTTATGTGGAGTGAACACCATCTGGAAAAAAAAATTAGCTAAGAAAGGCGGAAATCAAGACATCAGGATGGCTTGCCGACAGGACCTTTGATCTGGCCAGAAATAAATATAAAAGAAACCGCTGAGAGCTTTCCTCACTGATTTCCACCTAAACAGAAATCAGCCTGATCCCTAGGACGGGGGAGGGCAGGGGTGTGAAGGGAAGGTGGCGGCCATGTAAAGCTTGCCTGGTTAGGGTTAGGGGGAAGCGCCCATTAAAATCGGGGTGGGAAAAAGTTCCTGAGATGAGTCGACCTGGCGGTGCAGTGTCGGCGGGAGGGTACAGCTATGTGACAATGGACCAATGGACGTGACCATTTGGGGAATGTTAGCAAGTATGGCAGGCATTTGCTCATCACTTCCAACATGCCAGGCACTGTGCTAAATACTTACATACATCATACACCTGGGAAGTAGGGAGTAGAATTATTGCCATTGTACAGATGAGAAAACTGAGGTTTTCAGAGTGTCTCGGCAGGTTGCCCAGGGCCACAGTCGCGAAGGTGCATCAGGGCAGGGATTTGAATCCAGGCTCTGAGACTCCAGTAAACCTGGTCATTTAACTACTCTCTGTGCTTAAATGATGTCTGGATCCCAGAAATCTGAGTTTCTCGATGGAAATTTCCTATTTATTCATTTGGTTCTAGAGCTGTAGGATTGTAGAAACAAAATGAATCTTGGCATTTAATGACTACCTACTGTATGCCCAGCCTCATATGAGCAGTTTTTGAGAGTTAAAAAGGGGTGCACAGGACAGGACTTGGGGAAAGAATGGGTAAAGGAGAGAGGGGGTCCCCAGGGAGGGCTTAACTATTAGGTGTCATAGATCCTTGTGTGCTGAACCATTCACCAGATGAGGAGACTGAAAGAAAAGATTTGGGTGTGGGCAGGTGACACAGACACCATGATTAGCCCCCCCCCCAAACTGCCATTCCCTTTACTCCCTCCAAACAGATTTTGTTTGTGTTTTGGCCCGTTGTCTAGAGGTGGGCCTGTTATACCCAATTCTAATCAATAAGATGTAGTTGGAGGCTTTGATGACTCTGGAAATATTGCTTCTTTATTGACCAAAGGAGAAAGTGATTCCAGAAAAAGGCCTCCCCTGTCTCCTACACTTTCAGCTTTGGGCTGAGGTTGTGATGGTTGGAGCTGTGGCCCCCACCTTGTAGTGATGAGTTGACAAGCAGGAAGAGAAGTGGATGTGTTGAGCCTCACGGAGTGGATGGCTGGGCAGAGTTTGCCTTGATGCCCAGCTGAGTTGCTGCCCCCAAAGCAGAAGCCAACCACCTGTCTGTGGACAGCCAAACATGTCCAAATTAAATGTCTTCAGGGTTCAATGCAAGGGGGGCTGGCTTTTCTGTGACTTGCATCTGAAAACATCCTAACGGAAGCCGATGTAAGTTTAGTCTCTGGATTCTAAAGCATCTGGCTTGAAACAAAGATCTTCACAACAAAGATAAAGAGTAAAATGAGAAGTGGCAACAATATCGAGTGTGGAGGCAAACTTTCTTCCCCTGTGCTGGGAGAACAGAGCGAGGAGGTTTGACTGTGGTTGCTGGAACTGAAACACGAGAGGCTTCTGAACACTTCCAAATCCAGAGTCTCCCAAGTAACAGCAGTTTAGACACTGGCCATCTGAGTCAATGTCTGGTTCTCGCTCAGGCCAGAGCAGGGTGGAACACGTTTCCCAGCTTTCCTGCTAACTCGGGAAAGAACGGGGCCAGCGTTGTGCTTGGAGCTAACCATCTATTTCCAGGGATACTCTTTCAGGATGCAAGTGCAGGGTGCCAGGCCTGGGCGCAGAGAGGGGAGAGTGCTCCAGAAATCATGTGCAGCCAGGGGCGGTAAAGCTCAGAGTAGGAAGCTGGGTTGGGGAGCTCCTCTGAGTTGGGGGCCCTTCCCCACCAGACTGCTGGTGTTGGGGTGCCCTTGTCAAGGGGGCTTTGCCAGGAGTAGTAAAGCCACTTTTCTCTGTGCTGTGCCCCCCACCCCCACCCCCCAGGCAGCCAGATGCAGTTTGCTCTCCTCCCTTGCTTGCATCCCATCTGCAAGCATTTGAGTGTCCTCCAGCCATGGGGATTAGAGACCTGACCTCTTCCTCCCTCTCTCTTCCTCCTCCCACCCCCTCTACTTCCTCCTGTGACATCTGAGAGGGGCTGGCAGCCTTGTTTGTCACCCGAAAGTCTCCTCTGCCCTACCCCCTCCTCTGCTCCACTCCCCCACCCCCAGTTCCAGCGCTTTCTCATGTACACTCCTGTTTGGCACCAGATGTTAGAGGTTACAAACCGACCGCCCTTGCTTTTACATCTTCCTTTATTTCATTCGCCGCCCATCTTCCTGTGACTCTGCCCGCGACCCCTCCCGGCGTGTGCGTGCTGACCCCGACGCGCTCCCGAGTCAACTGATTGCGCCTGAATCCACTTAAAGGTGAAAGGATAAAGCAATTTTCTTCAAGATGGGGCCTAAACTGTTTAGTCTCGAAGGTCTCCAAAGGGCAGGAATGAAAGGTGGCCCCCCCAACCCCCACTTTTGTCTGGAGCACCCAATCTGGGCTCGCCTGGGTCTGGGCAATTTGGAAGAGCTTAATCTTCTGGCCCTGGGTGGGTTGATCAGACCTCTGAAGAATCAGGCCCATGATGTCCGAGCAGTGTCAGCGATTGATTGCCCGGTTAGCCTACTTGAAAATTTAAAAAATTAAAACAAAAACAGTAATAATCAACTGTTCCCACATTGGCAAGTCAGGCATCAACTGGAAAGGAGAACGTTGTACTTACTGCACCAGTCTGACCTGGGCCGATGGGTTGTGACTTGCTGTTTTTAATTCTTAAGTAAGGGGACTGGACTGCAAGGTAGGGCTTGAACCCAAAGAGAGACAGCTGCTCTCAGCTGACTCCACCACCTAAGACCATGCGGTTGCATTTGGCCCTGGAATATTTCCCATTGAGGAATGTCACATTTGGGTCTAAGGAAGATGCAGAGCTCCAGTCTGCAGAATGACACAGACTCTGGCTCAAATCCTGGCTCTGCTCTCTTACTATAATGACTAGGGCCTTTGGGCAAATCACTTCTCTTTGAGCCTCAGTTTCCTCAAAGACCTGTTGTAAGGATGAATGGGAGGAAGCGGTTGCCATGGAATTGGCCCCTGCTACATGCTGTTAGTATTAAGCAGCTTTATCATTTACCTTTTCCTGGCTCTAGGGTGTCAGCATTGGATACAGCAAGGAGGGACCAGAGACCCAGAGGGCTTTGTCTTCATAGGAGTGTTTTTAGGTTCCCTCTGTCTCCAAATCATCTTTCTATGGCAGCCCGTCTGAGTAGGCGGTGGGGCACACTGCACTGGCTGAGCACAGCTGCAAGTACAACTGCACTGTAATCGCCTGGTGGCTCATCTCTTTCCATCAGCAGACAGTGAGCTTCCCAGGTGCAAAGCCCATGTCAAGCTTGCCTAATGGTATTATCCCCCAGCAATTAATTAACATCGTGGATAAGTTTGACTTTGGGCAGGTGACTTTATCTGAGTCTCAGTTTGTGCAGCTATAATACTTTCCCCGTTTGAGTAAGATGAGAATTAGGCAATCCATGGACAGTGCTAGACACAGTACTCAACAAGTGCTTGCTGTGTTGTTATCACGGCGATTCCAGTCATCCCCAAACACCTTTCCTTTGTGTCTCAGATATCCCATTTCCAACCAGCCTTACCATAGGCTGACAGTAATTTCTTCCCGTTAAGGAATCTCAGGAAAGCGTCAGCATCCTAAGGGACTGAGGTGCTGGCAAAATGTCACTGAGGGAAGTCTAAGTGAGCTTCCTCTTGTGTTCTTCCCAATTCCAGGCATTGGTTCAGTCTTTGAAAACCCAAGTGGATTTTGATGATTCTGCCAAATGCCTTCACATAAGTTTCAGGCTCTGCTCAGAATTCATAGTGGTGTGGATAATCCATCTGACCTCATAAAAACCACTTAAAGGCAAATGTGTACACCCAGCAATTCTGCCTCTTCATTTCTCTCCAAGAGAAATAGTTGCAAATGCTCATAAAGAAGCACATAAAAAGATGATGTTCATTGTCACCCTGTTTGCAACAGCAGAAAACCAGAGCCAGCCTAAATACCAACCAGTAGGAGACTGGTTAAATAAATCATGGCATGTCCATGCAGTGGAAGAATACTCCACAGTTGAAAGTAGTGGGGATGTTTTATGGAAGGATCTGCAGGACATAATAATATGTGGGGGAAAAAATTGCATAACAATTACATTCATGTAAAAATAAATTTAAGCATATCATTGAACATTGTATATGTCATTGTAGGTATGCACAGAGACCATGTCTGGAAGGATGTTCAGTAAACCAGTTACAGTGGAGGTAAGTAAGATGGGTTGGAAGAGAGAAGAAAAGGAAGCAGCGAGAACTTTCATGGATTGGTTTTTTCCTCTGAAATATTGTTGTTTTTTTTTTGGTTTTTTTTTTACAATAAGGATTTACTATGCAGGTAGGAACCATAAATGGAATAGTGAAACACAGTTTTCTATAGGGAAGGTTAAAGTGACAACTGTAAGGAACATATCTCAATGCACTTCTATAGACACAAATACATCCCCGGTGCCTCGCAACAGTAGCGAGAAAGTAACTTGTGGGATATTTTCTCAGTGCAAAACTCTATGGGCAGAGGAGTACAAACTGTAACTATACACGATGCCATAGATAAATCTCACAAATGTAACATTAAGTGAAAGGAGCTACACACAAAAGAAACGTGCTATAGGATTCCATTTACATAAAGAACAAAACCAGGCAAGACTGGAAGGGATCATAAGGAAGCTTCTGGAAGATTCCAGATGCAGTAATGCTCTTTCTTGATCTGAGTGCTGGTGACACCGGTTTGTTCAGTTTTTGAAAATTCATTAAGCTGAACACGTATGATTTGTGGCGTTATCTGTATGCACATTATACATCAATAAATGTTTTTTTTTTAAAGCCTGTCAATACATTAAAAAATGCTTTTTTATAAGACTGGGGGGGGGGGAAAGCCCTTTATCTTCCTAGGAAAACCACCATAAACCAGTCTTAACCATTTTTGAAACCTTTAACACAAGCAAACAATCATTTATTTAATGAAGGGAGGAGTCCATAGCTTTCATCAGATTTTCAAAGGGAACCTTCACCCCCTGGAAGATTAAGAACAAATGCTAACGCTATTTTGCAAGAATTGGAAAGGTGAGGTGGGTGATTGCAAAATTAAAAAAAAAAAAAAATCTTTGAGAGAACTTTGCTTCTTGCTGTAAAGGTATCAGCCATGCAATGTCGAGGGAAAGGCTGTCGGAAGCAGAGAGGGTCAGGGTGAGTTCGTCAAACAACCAGCCCTCCAAGTTCTTGGTCCACGTTGCTTTCTCTCCTGTGGGCGGCGGCGGATGTTCACCTTGCAGTTCCCCACACATCTGCAGTTTACGGCGGCGTGTGATGCTTGCAGGGTGATTTATAGTGAGGCTCGGGCTTGGGAAAAGGTTTCTAGAGGAAGGCTCCCCCCCCCGCCCACTCGTTTGTAATTTAGGGGCATTTCTTGAATTCCCCAGCCCATTGGGTCCTGGCAGAAAATGAATGTGGGTCATTTCTGGGATAGATGCTCCCCGACATATGTGTCCCTGTGAAGAGAGATGGATGGCCAAGGGAAGTGGCTGTTGTCCATAAATCACACAGCATTTGGAATATGTCGTGTCTCCCTATGAGATACGAGAGTCGGGGTGGACTCAAGTGCAGGGCACTCGCAAGGGAAGCAGTGGGTTGGCGGGCAGAGGGGAGGACAGGGGGGTGGGGGTGGGGCTGCCCGGGACATGGCACCTTAAAGAGAGAGCCAGTCCTGGCATTGGAATAATGTCGCCAGGCCACATGGTGGGTCTTCCCTTGCATTTCCAGCGTCTGTATTGACTGTCTCACGTGGCATTGCTCTGTCCGTCTCCTTGGCTTACCCCTTCCCATCCCTCTCTGAACAGCATTGGGGAAAAGAATAGAGACTTGGGTTTAAATCCCAGCTCTGTCTCTTAACCAGCTGTGTGAGCTTAGGCATGTCACTTGAACGCTCTCATCTGTAGATGGTGATACAGTTTGGATGTTTGGCCCTCCAAATCTCATGCTGAAGTTCGATCCCCGGCGCTAGAGGCGAGGCCTGGCGGGAGGTGTGTGCATCACGGGGCAGATCACTCAGGAATGGCCAGGTGCCCTCTTTAAGGTAACGGGAGGGTTCTCGCTGTATTAGGTCACACGAGAGCTGGATGTTTCCAGGAGGCTGGTGCCACCTCCTCTGTCTCTTGCCCCCTCTCTTGCCCTGTGCCACACCTGCTCCCCTTTCACCTTCTGCCTTGCTTGGAAGCTCCCGGAAGCCCTCACCGGAAGCAGATGCTGGTGCCGTGCTTCTTGAGCGGTCTGCAGAACCATGAACCAAATAAACCTCTTTTCTTTATAAATTACCCAGCCTCAGGTATTCCTTTATAGCAGTGCAAAACGGACTAACACAGGTGCCCCATCTCTAAAATGGAAGTCGTAAAGCCTCTACCTCGTAGGGCTCTTGTAGGGGATTAATGAGATATCATTAACACATGAGATGAACCGCCTTTCACAGGGTGTTTACTTGACTCTCAATTCTTGGTATTAATGATGACTATATTTTATGCCGCCTTCTACATCAGCGATTCTCACCGGGGGGTGGGGGGACTTTGCCCCCAGGAGATATTTGGCAATGTCTGGAGACACTTTTGGTTGTCACAATGGGGGGAGGAGGTGCCACTGGCATCTAGTGGCCAGGGATGCTGCTAAATAAACATCCTAGGGTGCATAGGACGCCCCCACAGCAAAGAATTATCCTTGCAGAATGTCTGTAGTGCAGAGGATGAGAAACCTCACCTTAGGCTGTGCGTTTTGTATTTTCCCTCCTGATATCCCCACACTGTTTTGTCCATCCTTCCCTTCTGCCTTTATGTCATCCTGGATGGCAAGGCCAGCTGTCACATTTCTGACATTATTAGACATCACCTAATTCTGGGGCCTAATTCTGGCTTTGCTGCTTAGGAGCTGTGTGTCCCTGATGAGTCCCTCAGACTCTCTGATCCTCAGAGTCCTCGTCTCTAACGTTGGAAGCTGGCTATGAGGATCAGATGTGATGACACACAGGAACGATGGCAAACAAAACCGTCCTGCGTCTTCTCCATCCTCAGAACATCCTGCACCTTCTCCATCCTCAACAGGCTCAAGAAGACCATGGCCTTCTTGAAGACGGGCGTCCATGGTTGGCTCATTTCTATGTCCCATGTATGTAAAGGATGACGCCTTTTTCCTTCTCTCGTCTCTCCTCTGTTTGTCCCAGCCCCTCATTTTTTCCTTTGGTTTCTCCCTTTCATTTCTCCTCTTTTCCTGGCTCACCCTCAGGCGGGATCAGAGGCCCCACGCCTCTCCGCCGTGGTCACACGTGCACAGTTTCAAAGCCTCCCTCTGAACACAACGTGACCTGTTTGAAGGGGGAACGGCTCGCTCGTCTGGTTTCTTTCTCTTTCACTCCCTGGCTGTGGTTATTAAAGTTTGGTTCCTGTAGGAGGAAGGGGTGAACTTTGAAAGCTCCGGAATGAACGCTCCTCAGAGCCCTCTTATCACGTCACCCGCACCCCCTGGCTTTCCTCCCTTGGTGGTGAAATTTGGCCATCAGACGCTCGTGGGCGGGCCGCCTTCCTGTCTCAGCATCTGAGCCCCGTTCGCCCCGGCCTCTCTGCCGACAGGCAGCTGACAGCCACGTGCAGCTGGCCAGCCCTGTGCATCTGAGCGCCACCTGCCCGGCATGCCCCCAGCACTCGCACGCAGGGTGAACCCCTGCCTCACCTTCCCTCCAGGAAGAACCTCACCTCTCAGGGGCCGTGCTTTAAACAGGCCTCATTTACACGAAGAAGAAAGCCCCATTCAACATGGATCAAGCATGTTCTCATATGCCAGACACAGTGCTGTTTTCTATGCATCATCTCATTCAGTCCTCACACCAGCCCGAGGAGGTGGCTGGTTCATGGTCCCTGCATTAAAGAGAATGAAACTGAAGTGCACAGAGATGAAGTGACTTGTCCAAAAGTGCACATTTGCAAAGTGGCAGAGCTGGGGTTCGAACCCATGTTGTCCAGATGCCAGAGCTAAGGGGGACTAACTTGTCCCAGTTTGCTTGGGATGTTCTCCATTTTAGCACTAAAAAGCCTCAAGTCCTGGGAAACCCTTCAGTCCCTGAACGAAACCAGGATGTCCTATAACGAAAAGGAGAGAAAGGAAGAAGACTAACCCTGATATGACAAATTCTGAACATCTTTTAAGAACAAGGTTTCCTCCCTCCCTCCCTCTCCTCCTCCTTTTTCCTTTTTTGTGTGCTCTACAGCAGAAGAGGTTGGAGCAGCAGTGATTTTTGTCCGAGGATCAAGAATTACTGAAAACCAAAGTGTTACCTACTCTAGGCCTGGAGAGGTTACAGAGGGAGGGAGAAATTGCCAGAACCTGGAGAGAGCTCGAGCTGCATTAAAAGAACCTCTGGACAGGACATGGGGCCTCCATAGAAGGACAGTAATTGCCAGTCCCAGACCCAGCGCAGAGAGAACTGAGGGCATAAATATCCCGATGTCCCTCTTCCTCCTCCTCCCAGTTTCCAGTGACAGCCTCCCAATGGTCAAACCCATCTGGAATCCTCAAGGCAAGAGGGCCTGTTGACACTGAACATATAGGTCCGTGTTCCAGGGCAGAAATTGGGGTGGAGAGTTGGGCTGGAAGAGCAAACTAGAATATGTAGTATCCTGATCTATTGCCTCCCACATCCACCTGGTTTAAATGGTAGAAGATTAAACTCGAACCTTCTAAAAAACCCTGGATTGTTTTCTTGCATTGTATTCATGCAACTGTGTTTTAGTGGAAATAAAACCAGAATCAAACTTAACAATGCTTTGACCACAGAACTATAAATTCCTCCAGTTTGAAGGTTCTGGGAGCAGATCTCTCTGGAAAATAGATTCTGGGGCCAGTGTGGTTATGGCGGACCAACCAAACGTCCTTAGGCAGACAGAGTTTCATTAAAGTCTTTGCAAGTCTAAGCTCCATCATTTCTTGGACAGATTTAAAAATCCACTCATCGCCGCTGGGACAAGTGGTACCCAACCCAAGTACAGCTGATTAAATTAAACAGAAGCAATCTTTCCCCGATTAAACAAGAACAAGAGGAAGTCATCCAAAACGATTGCTTCTTCAGAAAACAGACAAAGACGGAAGTAAAACAGGCAGCCCACTTGCATCCAAAGACAAGAGCCTTAGAGAGAGCCCAGGGCCTTCAGCCGAAAAGGAAAAGGGAGAACCAAACCAGAAAAAACAACTCCAAACCAAACCACCCATTTCTGATTTCCTGAGTTTTCAATGTGGGGA